GCTGAAGTTAATGCTGAAAAAGGTAAAATTAATACTGAAAAAGAAGCAATAGAAGATGGAAAAAATAAAGCCAAAAAAGGTAGAGTAAGTGGTTTAATCACCCAATTTAAAACTTTTCGAGATAAGCCGGGGAAGAGAAGTTATCGAGAACTATTATTTATGCAGAATATTTTGGGGTGGATTAAAAAGTGAGAAATTTTGAAAACGGATGCCACTTTTGATCCCGTTGCCGAATTAGCCAAGTTAGATGCCGTTGAAACTGATAATCAAGGTAAACTAGCTAAATATAACCACTGAGTAGGACATGGCACTCACTTTACGGAAAGGTTAGATAATTGAAAAAAAGATGATGGCAAATACTTTAATAAGGAGGCAGTCAGAAATTATTTGCAAAGTATAAAAGATTCTTTAGAATCCGTGAGTCGGGGATTAGATCCAGTGGAACAAAATGAGTTAGATCAACTCACTCACTATATTGAGAATGGTGAAGTTCCCATGGAAGAGAGAATTCTGCCCATGGACCTTAAAGCAGCCTTAGGAGTCAAAACTAATGTGTTTAGTGAATTAGCTAAAAAATGAATTAATTATTCCCAAAACATTAATTTCAAGACCAACACTGATGAAATTAGAAATTTGGCTAACAAAGTTAATGGTAAAGGAGCTAAAATTAAAACTCCTGACCTCATTAAATACTGTAAAGAAATTCTTGCTAAAAGACCTGAGTTAGTAGAAGATAATGATATTTGTTATCTTCCGGAAGCCAATGCCAACAATTGAGATTGATTAGACTGATTCTTTACTCAGGATCCCAAAGTAGTGGTAGGAACCATTGCTTTACAGGAAATCCAAGCAGATAGTAATCTCAAAAAACAAATCCTGAAAGAGATGAAAGATTATAAAGAAGATCAAAAAGGATTGGTTAGGTTAGATCTCTCAGTTTATGGAGATGGTAAAGAATTTAGTGAAGATGGAATTATTAAATACTATACTGAAAAGTTAGGAGGACAAAATCATGCCAAGAAGAAGTATGAAAAGTCTTTTGAGGATAATAAACAAGAAGGTTTCTGAAGAATTAATAATCCTTCTGCTTGAGCAGCTGGAGGAGGAATTCTTTTATTACTAAGTAGTCTTGGTTGAGCCATCTGAAAAAGAAAACTCCTGGCTCAATGATGAAACTCCCCTGCTGAACTAGAAGAAGAAGAAGAAGAAGAAGAGGATGAGGATGATGATTAATAATGATTTGATTGTTTATTCTGCCAGTCTTCTTTTCTTTCTTGGTTCGTCATAAGTTGGTGGTAATGTTCGTTTATGGTTTATTATCTTTTGTTCTTCTTGATAAATTTCATAAGTAATTTTTTCCTTATCTAGATATTTCTGGAGAGTTTGGGTATCATTGATTTTAAAAATGTATGGAGCAATTTTTTCTCCTTGCTCTTTCTTTAAAATACTTCAAATAGTGCTGTAATTTTTGGGTTCTATGGTGGATTTGATATAAATTAGTTTCATATACTTTATTTTTATATAGGGGTAGTCCTATATTGCTCCTGTTATGGTTTATTATTATCATTATTATAGACAAGCACCATTATTACTTTCAAAATGTTATTGTCAAATTAGTTAACTATCAGCCACATCAGCCTCACATTTATGTCACATAACAGAATGTTCACTTTGTCTGGTTTTGTTGCAGTCTGCCCCATATTAAGCAACAATAACTTTGCGATCGTGCCATCAATCGAGTTTTTGACTACAATTGCGTCGTCATAACGAGCTTACGGGAATAGAACTGCATTATGTAGTACCCCCCAGAATGATTTTTACAATACCGCCTGGCATGATACCAAATATTTTTATTTAAAACAAAAAGTTTAGCAACTAATTCAAACAGTCAAGGAGTAGTTGTACATGTCGGGATAGTATAATGTTAATTTTAATGCAACCGAGCTCTTATGTACTGCTTCCGAGCACCGTCAGCGTGGCGGAACTGAGCCCCCTTTATCAGTGCCACACTCAGTACCACACTCAGTACCACACTTGGATGTGGTCGATCACGCCTTATATAGTATAGAAACATGTATAGAATATTCCAGACACTTCTGTCATACATACAATTATGGAAAGCGTCAAATATATATTTTTATTGAATAAATTATTCGGTATCCGAATTGAATAAAAACTTTACTTCTAATATTTTTAATAGTTTATCACATCTTTTAGACTTTATTCCGTTATACATTTCTGAACAGTCTCGCTCATCTGTTCAAGAAGAGTCTCTATCTTGCAAATAATTTCTGCTTTTCAGTATTCGGAGAATCTAGTATTGAGATTACTGTGAGTTAGAGTTTCAATAAACTTCACAGCAACTTGATTATGTTTACTTAGCCATGTCTCAATGAGCAGTTTGTTAAGTTTTCTAAAGAGTATCTCCGATCAAAAGTTCAATATCCCCCATATAAAGATTGTCGTTCTAATCGTGCAATATCAACTGCTGCTTGTACTGACTACAATATCGTAAATCCCACTGTTCGGTAAGAATTTCATTTGCTTTGCACTGTGCTTCATACAAACCACGAATCGTAATCGCATTATCTGTAACTGTCCTTTTAAATCTTCTATTTCGTCTCTGATTTTCTAGCTGCCTCTGCATCTGTGTTAACTGATTGGTGAGGTCAGTTATTAACTGTGACTGCTGATTTTCCAGTTGACTATATACTTCAGAAGTCTTCTAACTCTCTGTCAAGTTCGGCAACTACAGTACATCAGGCTGATCAACGGGAATGGCATTATCTTCATCGGTGTTGAATCGAAGTCTCTTATTATCTTGAACGGAACCTATTAGCGTTAGATATTGGTAAAATTGATTAGTAGCAATAATCTGATTATAATGTTTTTCGCAGATTGAATAAGATCCTAAACTAGAATGAAGGTTAGTAGATTATTGTGATATAATGAGAGTCATTTGGCTGTCTCCGAAGCACTAGTACAGTAGTATGCCGCCATCTTTACAACTCTTTCGTCTCGCATGGCTTTAATCCAACTTCTCACCCAAGTCTGCAAAAAGACATTTGCTCTTGCTGTCTGCTTAACCGACACTATTTTAAATACTGGAATAGTTAGGAGACTGTCTTATGACGCGAGGCAACTTTGATTTTTAATTAAAAGTGGTAATGACAATTATATTGTTCATACAATCGCTTGACTTTACCGGTATAGCCAGAATTGACTGCAATGTGACGCGCATACAACAAATCTACTCGAAATTGTTTAATATTAACCAAACACTTGATAAAATTGCAATGGGAACGTTTTCAGATTCCGAAATTCATTATTTTAAAGTATGATCGCAAAGACTTTGGAGAAAATATCGATCGTACCATCACATACGCAGAAAACATTTGTTGAATGTGGAGCGTGGAGACGGAGGATTAGTAGTCTAGGTCTGTTAGTAATAAATTGGATAGTTGGGACTATATATATGACAAGACAACACTCTCGCTCATGCAGCACCACTTGGATAAATAAGAACGCTGGGCAACTAGTCATCTCAATCGCCTGATCTTGTCAGAAACAATGGGCAAATCCAAGATAGATATATTAATCTTATAAGTGTATGTCGAAAAGGTGCAAGTTTACATTAGAGGCAAAGAAGGCCAACTAAAATGCTATGACAAATACTATACAGCTTTGGTATGACGGTTCGACGAGCCTGTATATTATTAATTAATAAATAGTACAGAATTGGTAAAAAACAAATGCCAAAACTATCGCTACCACTGTTAAAAGTGTTATCGCGCTACTATTGTGATGCTTTAGTTTTGACACATGCAAGTCAAAAACTAACATATATCTATACACTCCAAATAGCACACTAGAGGTTCAAATGGAAGAAATAGGATTGGATCCAAAATTGATTGTTCATGTCAATCTACTCTTCAGAAGCGAGAATGTCCAAACACGTCACGACACCCATAACTCCGCTAATGAAATAACTAGCTTCGCTACTCTTAGACCCAACAGTACATGTGATTGTGGTCTTGACGTTTTCTAACTTATTAACGTAGTTGAACATGTCCTCGTCCGTACGATCATCACCAATTGCAAGAATAAAATCAGGCACACCGGCAAGAAGAATACGGGAGACGGCAACCGCTTTATTGGTATTACGAGGCATAACCTTTTAATAATGATTGGATGTGAGAAAAGACACATATATATATATACCAAAGAGTAAGTTTGTTAATTGAAGCGAGAAATGTAAACATTTGCTATGAAAGTGCACTTATTTACCTCGAGCTTTTTATTCCCGGCAACCGCATGAATGGGATATATTGTTCCCAGTGCATCTTCTATGTGATTTTGACATTCTGCTGCTTGCCATGCTCTATGTACAAGACATATAAATTAGTCATATCAATTTAACGAATTTCTATATTATCACCTGACATCTATTTAATAAACCATTGATTCCTGGGTATCGATCGCTTCGACTTACCCATAGCTTTGGTTGTCGGCGGAACGATAATGCTGAAAACATAAACGATATATAATGTAAGTCGTCATGGCAAACACAAGCACGCCCTATCAGGTTGAACACATACCCATACAATAGATACATCCTTCATTTCTATATATGATCCAGGAGTTCTCTCCGCAAAGTAGTCGAAGATCTGTTTTTTACGACATCATACCATTTGTAAGTCATAATTTGTATTGACTTTTGCAGCAATGCAGCTTACCTCCTGGACCTGCTCCCTCCATCCTATGTCTATGTCGGAAATAAGACTTTCCCAATCACCACCAATTGGTTTAATAAATGCACCGTTCTCTGCACTCAATCCAAGATTAGGTATATCACCCAATCGCTCATCAAGTGATTGCCGCGTCCGACCGCTCATCACATATACTTGATTCTTAGGGTTGCTGCAAAGTTTTTTCATTATATTGACATACTCCTGAGGCGGCCTGCCTGATGTGTTGGCTTTCTCGTAAGGAACAAGAGTTCCATCATAGTCAAGAAGGATTCTGATGGAGAGAGGTTAGACGTTGAAGTTGAAGAGTCAGCAGACCTAATTCATTGCATGCAATTATGCATTCTTACAAATGAGTTGGCTAAAACACGTACAATCTCTTCTCGGCCTTGTGGAAAGCGTCTTCGAAAGATTTGGGATTCAAATGCGGAATATGTATAGAGAAACGTCGCTGCATGTCACTATGCACTTTCTCCAACTCGGTGATAAAACTCTGAGCCCAGAACTGGGCAGAATGGGTAGTGACGTTTTTAAATAACTCCTACCAACCGCATATGAAAGTGAAAGTCAGTGCATCATATTAACGCATATTGTCAATACATGATAATACAAAACCTTCCATCGAACGGTTGCATCTTCGTCCGACATATTCAATGCTTCATGGATTGCATCGGCTGTTTCCTTCAGTCAAAATCATAGATGGGCATTAGACTAGACAACCATTGGAATAAAAATCAAAATTGTATTTATCGAATCACGTATACCCTATAATCCCATGGATTTATACGGATAGCAGCACCAAAACTTCCGTAAGTCCCTGCAAACTAATAAAATGCACCAGTAACTTCATTAAAATGCTATTCGCACGCGGTATAACCTATTCCGCATAATCACCTCGCTAAGAATCAACGGTCGGCGAGTTTCCTCCTGGCAAACGACATATTCGTGCGATGTCAAATTCATCCCGTCACGAAGTGAGGTAATAAGACATGCATCAGCAGCAGTCAGCAAGGCCAAGTACTGACTGAACGTAATATCTTTGTGAAGGTAATTAACAGGCTGGTACGCGAGATTACTAAATTTCGAATTTATGCCAGAGACAACATCTGAGACTTGGCTTTGAGTTTCATTTTGATCAGTCGTTGAGAGAGCGACCTGGATTAAGACAACCTAAGTATTGAATAATAGAAATGCATTGATTATGGTTGTACATAGAAAGATTTGTTCATTTCGACTCCATTACAATATACTAGATGACTGACTTTGCCTTGCCACTCTGGATAGTTTGTAAGGAATCTCTCAAAAGCAAGCATCTTATGTCTTACTCCCTTGACGTAATCGAGTTTATCACGTGCCACTACTAGTTTCTTTCCATTATATTTCTCTTTAAGCAGACGCGTCCACTTTAAGACTTCGGATTCTTTCCTGCATAGCAAATAGTGTATAGAAACGGCAATATGGCAAACTAAGCATCGTCAGATACATCTCAATCTCCACGTAAATTTACATACCTTTTTTCGTTCAATGCCTGAACGTCAATCCCTTGAGAAACATATACAATATCGTTCAATCAAGATAAACGGGCCGTGCAGACAAAAAAAATTACAGACTGCATTCTAATTACCAATTGGAAATATTCCAACGGATACAAAATTGTTTTCTAACTGGATGCCTTTCGGCGTTGCCTCCAAAGCCAAGATGCGCGAACAAGTCTGGAAGAAATGTCGTGCAAAAGAATATGTCTAATAATATTGAAATGATATAATTAGGTTAAGTTAAGGTTATTGCATTTGATAGATGAGCAAATCGATCAGCATTCGATTATCATACCTGAAATCCGATCAAATCGGCTCCAAGAACTCCTTCCAATAGCTGCTTACGTACTGGATGGCAATTTACAGAAGTGAGTATATTTAATAGCATTGGGATGAATAAACTGCACATTGATTATTAATAGACATACCGAATAAACACCTAAAGATTTCAGAACTTGGAAATGGAACGTGCAAGAAAAATCCGATCATAGCATTAGGACGCTTCTTCCTTAGCATCTCGGGTACCAATAGCAAATGGTAATCATTGATCCAAACTAACCGAATTCACACCAATTTATTAGACACGTCTTCAGGATATAATTAACACGCGACAAAACTTACGAAAAAAGAAACATACTAATATCTCCTGGTTGATAATGCTCTGCAATAGCATCAGCAAATCGTTGATTGAGTGTAACATAGTGTTTCCAAGAATCGTCTTCGTACACTCTGGATTTAGGGTCGTCAGGAAGGACATAGTGGAAAGTAGGCCAGAGAACCTGCGAATAAAAAATTGGAAATTTAGAGAATGAAATAAAAAAAAAAGAGACTGACATTTATGAGAAATCAAAAGGACCATTGTATTATACACGGGCCTTGATGTCCCCAGATTTGAACACAGACGCGGAATTGAAAAAAAAAAACACGCGTCGTTTATAGAAGATACATACTTGCTTGCAAAATTTGTCATAATGTCCGTCAAATTCGACATCTGGAACGAAAACCGGAATCGCGTTGTACTCCTTCGTGAGCTTCGTCCCAATATCTTCTTTTTTGTCATCTGTCAATGTGTCCGTGAACAACCCAAGGGTTCCCACCCACATCAAATATGGTAATTTATCTGAAATCGATTTAATCGCGTTTTGCAATCCGATGTTTCCATTCGGACAAGGCTCGACTGTCCACGGCGCTTCGGCAAATAACTTTGTACAGTCAATGGACATTCTTTTCAAATTAACAGTGTTGGAAGCGCGACTGCGAGGGTGCGTCAAGGTGGCAGGGTGAGTAGTATCGTCCTCTTTACCAGGAAATAGCTTATTCGCATCTTCTTCCGGCTTTTGTGGATTTTTCAGATTATTTGTTCTCTGAGCCGCCAAAGTTTCGATAAGATTTGGTTTGGGTGAGGTCAGATTTACATTTGATTCGTATTTTACATCTTTCTCTTTGTCTATTTGGAATGATACCGTGTATGGTAGAAAGAGTGAAACAATTACGACTCTGTTAATGGTAATGGGGGCCATACTTGCGCAATGGCAACCCGAGCAAACTCCCTTTGAAGCGATGAGAAAAATATTTTATATGATAGATAGCCAATCAAATCGACTCTCTTCCGGATAGGATCAACAAAGGGCGGATGCAATTTTTTTTTGTTGTAATAGCAAAAGGATGTTCAGAACTAGTGTGCGACTTATGCAGGCCGTTTCTACGCGTATTTTAAATGACATTAAGAGTAAGCAACAATATAATATCTTCATGTGTTTGTATTAACGCCGCCTTGCCCCTTTATTTGACACACAAATAAAATCTTTTAACTATCAGAATCGCCACAGGTGACTACATTGCCCTCTTCGTCCCTCGGTTACTCTGAGACTACAATTACAGCACTAGAGTCACTCCGCTCTCAACTGCACTGCTATGCTGTGACGGAAATAGTTGGCCGACAGTACCTAATAACAAAAAATGACCTAATAGTAACTAATAGACTTCGAGACGTTGACCTCGGAGATATCGTACAGCTGAATAGGGTGAAAGAATTAGGAAGCAAAGACTTCACTATTAAAGGAGACCCCTATGTTAGTAATGACTATTATCATATTACTGCGACCGTAGTCGAGCAACCTAAAGGCCCTTTTACGGAAATCATTAAGAAGAAAAAGCGGAATAGGCGAAAGAAGAGGATTACTCATAAGCAGACATATACGGTTCTTCGTGTTAGAGAAGTCGAGGTCACTAAACTACAATAGGATTGAATCGCCATGATTGGTCGTATTTTACATTGTGGCTTAGCAGTTACAATGACATCATACTTCTGTAATAGAATATGAGCGTGAGAATTTCACGAGTATGCGGTAACATTTCATTCGAGTACAATTTCTGGTCTAAACCTGACATGGAAATGGCGTCGGCTACTTATTTTATAACAATAATATACCTAGTTAATAATCGGGGGACTCGATGTTCATATTTATATTCGCACTCATTTCGACAAAGTAATAATATATCGCACCCTCGCCAAATCAGCGAGGCCTCGTACACGATCGATTTTTAGCCAACCATGACGATATATGATTTTGTCCATAATTAGTATCCGTCAATAAATTGTTTAAACCAGAAGAGTTCACTGATACCCACCATAGCTGATCAACGGTTAGTGTCGCAATTCAGGTTCAAGTGATATACCGCACTAATGCCCACACTTGATAAATGCACCTGAGGCGGTATAAGTTCCCAGATCTTACATGGGAGCGATATTCTGTTTATGCCCTGCTCTGACTATTATATTCTAGAGATATAACCGTTTTGTTGTCATCAAATTCATGAGCTTGTCGAACTGCCAATACACCGTGATTATGTCTGGCCTCTTCATTATTCTAAGCTGTCCATAATTATTGACTTGCGAATGAAACTAAATGTCCATGCATTTATTAGAATAAATAGGAAAAAGTTGCGTATCCTTTACAAAATCGATAGAAAACTGCTCATATTATTCTTCCAATTTTTAGGCGCAAAAATTTAGAATTAACAATTTTCGGGCTGCTCTGTTTGGTGTTAAGAATGCTATCGTCATTAGGGGATAATACATAATCAATGTCATAATTTGTAGTCGTTAATTTTTATTTCGCAACGCAAACAAAACCAACGTACGGTAAACCAGTCTTTTTTTATGAGAAAATGAGACTTTCAGGAACACCCTAAACCTTTTTTTTAAAAACATGGTCGTAAATTATATTTGCTTGCTGAGCGTATTTCTGCGCGTTTCGATGGTGGGTGGAGGGCTTGCCATTTTCACCTGTAATAGCAATATAGTAGGTACTGGCGCTGGATTGATGGCTAGGATAAATATATAAGCGCGATTTCCGTTAGATGTTCATGTTCCTTTAATGTTCAATTAACATTCCTTTCTAATATACGAGTGGTTCTTTACACTCTGAAATACATTATTGATAATTTGTTCCTTAGAGCGCGCACCACTAATCCTTATATCAACTATTCGTCTAAGTAATAATAATAAATGCATTTAAACTTTATATTACTAAGATTCATTACTATTACGAGATTTATAATTAAACAAGCCAATGCGCTGTCCACAATAAAAGCAATTAACACCATACAGGGGACATAAAATTGTGTATTTACTGCCACTACATTAAAATTTGGTCGCTAGCACTCTCAAAAAATGCAATCAATATGTTTATGTCTTCGGCATATCTCTAATTTGTGGTAGAAAGAATAATATCACTTAAAACTTCTTGCTGCGCACATTTTTCCAACCATTAAATATAATAGTAACTGGTTCCAGAAGAGCAGAAACTTGGGCAACTTCTATCGCTGGATTTACGAAAGCAACTAAATCGCGAAAAGTAATACTTCCAACGAATAAAAGTAGCACCATACGAGGGAGAGCGTTCGTATATCGACTTTGAGATTTAGCTTTTTTCAACGACACCTCTACTCCTGATTCGACAATTAATGACCTTAACCACTAGTTTTAAATACTCACGATGCTAGATTAGTCTTGCATACGCTATCCTCAGATTATTATTTAATTCGGACGATTGTTTTTCGATAAACCGTAAATAATTAATATAACGTCAGAATTTCATCCAAAAATCTTAATTGCCATACCTATCAGACATCACATATGACATACATGTGCCTGAAATAATTGACATAGATATTATCTTGCATATTTGCTTATTGTAATAAATCGGCATTATTTCTTTCTCTAGCTTGTTGCAATAATGGACAGCATTACGCGCTACTAGTTCTTCATACAATCATTACAATCCCATAGTTGGTCGATCAAAAAACATGTGAAATCCACTCGCAATGTTTCTATTCAGTCATATCCCATACCGCGCGATCTGAAATATTAAGTAGAAAAATAGACTTTGCAAGCATTCTGCTATCTCAATACAAAATATATAGTAGCCCGTTTGTTATGTCGACATCACCGTTATTGTCATCATCTACAAAGTGATAAAAGGCTCTAGTCAACTTTAAAATATAGATTAGTATTCACGAAGCGACAGTAATGAGCAAGATACAAATAAACGTAATGACAGCAAGTCAGTGAGACTCGGAAAAAGATTTTGTTTGAGGCGGACTTAAAACAATACTCGCATTTATTAAAGAGCAGCCAGACAATTCGTCTGCTGCACGAGAAGATGTGGTTAATTTACGACGTGAATTAACAGAGTGGAAAGTCTTTAGACAAAGGTCTCAGATCGTTTTGTGACAAGTTAGATCGAATAAAACGAGTAAAACATGTTAATATAATAGTTGAACTCGTTGTGTCACCTGCTTTTTATGCCCTTATACCAGTCTCTCCTAACAGCCCAATTCCATGGACGGTATAAACAGATTTCAATTAATTGACGGTATGAATAAAAAGATTCAATACCCAATAAAGGACTACCAACTCAACAGTATTATACAAGAAAAGCACCATTGAAAAAGGGTAAGGATTTCATTAGTAAAATTTTAGGGAAAAAAATTACGAGAATACTTTTGTTGGTGCGTGCAAATCATATTCTCGTATATGTATATGACGATACTTTTGATAAAATTGTCCAAGCTCTTACAGTATATACATGTCATACTAGAGGTATTGCAAAAATATTATGTAATACACATAAAATAAACTAAAAATACAAGCATTTTCATAACAATGTTCCATAATACAAGCTCGCTCATAATTAAAAGTTATCGTTTACCATTAACTAAATTGTTTGTCTCTGAAGTAAAATCATGAGCAATAGTTAAACCGTCTAATTCGGAAGGAGTATTACCAAGTTCGTTTTTATTGTCCTTTGGTACCGAAATGCTCTGTTTTCTCTCTGTTGATTTCTTATTAGCATTAACAGTAGCAGATCTCTTGAGCATTGCAGTAAGCAGAGACATCGACGATGATGGAGACTTGGCACCACCAATACTAACAGGTGACTTCAAACTCTGAGCAGGAAGGGAAGTAAGAGGTATCGTGGAACTTGTGGAGCCATAGTTCTGCAGTGTACGAGAACTCGATGAACCCAGCAGACTATCTGTCCCAACACTAGTACTGATACGTTTTAAACTCTCTTTAAATGGACTAAACCCAAATGATGTTGAAAGCCATGATGTTTGCCCTTCTGTCCGCGACTTTGGGTTCGTACTGATGAAAATTTCTTTTAGTTTGTTAGAAGCAGTACTGTCTGTGGAACTCGATAACAAACCGGGCATACTTAGAACAGAGATGCGGTCAGGACTTCCTACTGGACTAGTAAATGTTGAGGTATCAGAATACTCTTGATGTTTTGATGATAATACAGAATCAAAATTGATGGCTACTGCGCTGGGAATAGTGCGTTTCTGTTGCAGGTTCAGTCGCCTTGACTCAAATTGAAACGACCCCTTGGCTAGTGGCTTTTTTTTTGCATTTTGAAATAGCTTTCGCACTAATGACCATTGTGTCTGGGGTTGATTATCTAAGCTTAGATCTGTTGGAAGTATGGTATCGAGTTTTTGAAGCGTTTGAAACGTCTCATATAACAGCTTGTGGGTTTTTTCGACTTGTTTCATCATTCCGTTCACTGAACACATCGTGAGATTAAAATATCTGAGCGAACGGCTAATTAGACGTGACAAATTGCATGGGTTGATTGTTGAGACATTACATACCAACTGTGAGTTGCTCAGATACTGTCTTGGTTTGGAGTTGGCGATTGATCATCGACTGGATAATCTCTGCGCAGTATGTGTCCACAGATTTAATGGACTCCATAACGATTCTCTGCAGCATAAAATTTCAATGTTAGACGAGGACCAACAGGCAAAAATAGTTTGCAGTGCTATCTCATCCATGTGGTAAACAACCCACGGTCTTTTTTTTTTTTTTTTTGGCGCCTAATTTACCTCAAAATACGTTGCTCGATAGAACCAATTTACTTACTTGATCGTTGCATATTTCTTCAGCGCATTTTCTTATATGAGATTGGTAAATCAGAGACATATTATACAGTGCCTCATGACTGAAAAGACTAGCTGAAAGTGTAACAAAAATAAACCCGATATAAGCCAAGCTTAACTCTTAAATAAAGAAGTTAAAGTCATAAGATACATACAGGTGCTTTCAGCGTCAACAATTGTTGCGTTATTTCCCAAAAAACCGCTAAGAGTAAAGACATTCGTTTCCGGGTTTGGCTTGATTAATGGCTCAAACTTGGATTGAACGAATCAGTTAGCGCCTGCGTGCAAATTTTTAGTCAAAAACCAATGATGCGAGTAGTTTATGAAAATCTCATTATAAGTACCTTAGGCATGTTATTGAGAAGTAACAACGCAGAGTCTTGACAGCTTGCATCCTCGTAGTCATTATCAATTGTCACAACTCCCTACATAACATAGTATTCTAAGCTTTAATAAAACAATGCTAAATTGTATAAATGCTACTTTGGCCACAGTACCCTTTCGACATCTTGACGGATAATTTCAGCGTGCGGGAATTTATCACCGACTTCTTCAACATTATGACCCCAATTGTAATCTTTGCTTCTTGTCTCATTTACTACCGTTTGGGAGAGAGCATCCTCGAAACCACCAGTAACTTCGTCAGCACCGGCCAGGTTGGCGGTAGGCGGTCGCTCGGCATCTGTACCGACAACAAACGCACTCTTACTTTCCATTCCTAACACCGACAACAGATATCATATGCGAACAATGTGAGGTCTTTGCTAAACAAACAAGATTACTTACTATTTGGCTTTTGGTGTGTTAAAAGTGCAATGGGGAAGAAAGAAAAGGCTGCATATCCCGTGACGATCAACGTGGGAATTACCACAAACCTCACGAACCTCGAGAAATTATGATGGCTAGAAATTATGCAAACTGCTTATATCATACTTTACCTTATGCAATATTGTATTAAAAATTGTATTCGATAATGCTCGCTTGACATCTACCACGTTCGTAAACATCCCTCACTCGCGAGCTGAGGTGACAGCGTATCGAATATGCTACTTGTTGCGAGGATGTCCTGAAATATGGGAGCGGAACTTCCAATTGGGCTGCATGTAATAATAATATTTTACGTATCCTATTTTACACGAAAAATTGTTTATACCGCGGTGCTCCGAAATATTACACGTGTACCTATGAGTCGGACGCGTATGTAAACAGTCACCCCTTCCCGTTTTTCTTTTCATCATGCATAGAAACTGTATTAGTGCAAACTAATTTTTGGCAGCTTGTCCGTACGTTATGTTTACTCTTTATCAGGAGTTTTTCTTTATAGAAAATGCTTTACAGACCCAGTCATTTTTATATTATCACCCACCCAAGAACAACATGTCATTATGCTAAAAACGAAAAGTAGCTTTGTTATTATAACTTTACGCAAATCTATTAAACCGAGTGCCTGTAAATGTTGTGTTGCTATACACTATTGTTATTGGTATTTAAAAATTTCATAATAACCCTAGTTTGAGACTCAAACTAACACTTAATTTACGTTTATTTTAACTATTACATAGTCACTGTCGTTCATCATTTTGTGATAATTAATTTCTCTTTGAAGCTTTAATAGGATATAATGCGATTAATGCTTCGCACAATTGTTTTACGCTTACTACCTAATCAGATTGTCCTGATGCTTGTCGTATCTTTGCTTGATCTGACGGTCAAGGAGCTCGTATATCCAAAGGTCATGTGACTATCATAATAATAAAAAAAAATTACTACAAACTTTAATTACGAGATGTACAAAGGCAACCCCGTTATAACGATTATCCCGTTATAACGAAAAATTTTCAAAACCCCCCATCCAATCATATCCCGCTTAACCGAATTTTAATTTGTTACCCGTATCCGAAGATTTTTTTTTAACAAATTTACCCCGTTAAACCGAATTTTCCGCAGTAACTCGAATTAACTCATCCTTTGTTAACCGAAGGAAGAAAATTTTTCAACCAATAAAAATGCAGTATAAAAACTGACAACATTTATTGCACAGGAGGACCTTTTCGCGTGAATTAAACAAGATAAAAAAGAATTATACAAAAAGATTGGCGATTCGAAGGTTCAAACTAATCTTGGCAACTTCTTTACAATTAATCGACCGATTTGTAATATTTAATGCATCGAGTAATAAAGCGAATTATTATTTTAGCTAAGTGCGCATTTATTTAATATTCATTGTCCCCGACGGCGTGACTACAGGAGGGTCGAAAACGTATGTTACTACAAAGGCAACCCCGTTATAACGAAGGCGTCCGTCCGGTTATTTTCCTTCGGTATAATGGGTCTTTGGAATAACGGAGTCACCGTGTTAACCGAAAGTTATTCATGATACCGATTCCTTCGGAATACAGCTTTTGTTGAAAATGTGCTTATAAAAAGGTTGTGATTATATAGAGGTTTTTTTCTGTAAGTTAAATAGTAATTGGTTCTCAAACATGGTGTGCTTATAGAGGTGACTGTAAAGAGGGTTGACTGTACAGTCAAACTTGGTTATAACGAACTTTGGTTATACCAAAGATCTGTTTATTATGAAGATTTTCTCCAAACCAATCATTATTGAGCCTATAGCAAATTTCGTTAAGAAATCTGGTTATAAATAACAAATATTTGTCAGAACAACATAATGGGCCACTAATTGACTATAACAAAGATCTTTATATAAAAGGATAATCTTCGTTATATGCAATATTCATTATAAACAGATTGAAGTTTACTATGAAAATTGTACCACCGTAAATTGGGAATTGTCGTTTCTGATCCTTCGAGCTTTAAGATAACGTTAGAAAATTTAAATACGAAAGACACAAAAAAACGAAAATTAAAACGTAATCTATATGTTTGTTATAAACATCGAATATTGTTTCAACGTAAGTTGATTAATATGATAGGATAATGTCTAACCATTAACAAAAACCATCTGTTCTAGTAGATGATAAATAATTGGAATTTTCGAATACTGCCGGCACAACTTGTACTTGGTGGAAATTCACACCATGTATTTTTGATCGCGTTGAACACCGAAATGGAGTTACAGAGTAATGAATTAGAATAGTGATATAAAATTTATTATATAAACGACCTTTTCTCTAGGCGGAAAAGATCAAGTTGGTTATTGCTGAATGGTAAAATTGAAGCAAAACCACTTCCCTGGAGGTGGATTTATCTCTTGTAATAAATATTAATATCTTTTATCTATTATTGGAAATGTTACATTGTTGTACTAGTAACAGTTCTACGTTTTTGCTAACTATTGCCGGATAAGTCAGTTTAGTAACATCTAACTGTAGATTAAGCAGATGCTGGAGTATCAGACCAGACAGGAAGGCATAGTTCAATTGTCAGTGCACATAATTTTTTCTTTGTCTACATAGTTTAGCACAGCATAAAAGTGAGAGTTTATACTTTTGCAATAGTAACAGGAGGTATAAAGAGCCGGCCTTCAAGAATTAGCCATGCCTTAGATGAGACCATGTCTAGAACTAAGTTTTGAGATATCTCCTAGTCAATTTGAACACAAACATTCTCCCAGACAACCACATGTAACAGTTGGTTTATGGTTGCTTGAAATAAAAAGAGTAAAGCCTATTACTATATTTGGAATCATCAATGTTGGTCCATACATTTTTAAAATTAATGATACCCAAACTCTCCAGGAATATCTAAAAATCATTTATCATTATTAAATTACTAATTTTAAATCACTTAATTTCAATCAAGGTCATCTCTTATTTTCTTTGACTTCAATTTGAGCATGTGGCCAATTCCCAATATATTGAGATACGTTTTCTGACAAGGAGGCGTATAGCGATCTCAGTAGTAAAACGTTTGCATTTTCTTTTTAAGACGTCGGCTGGCAGTTATTTCTCCGCCATTCATTGCTTTCAGCTGGGCTATTAAAAATATATTTAGAGAGAGCTCGAAACGCTTCACGTAATTCGGCAAAATTTCTCTTGGAATCTTTTTTGAGCAACCACAATTGCAACCTACCTCTAAGAAACGTATTGCCTTTCATATTCTGTTGAACCATTGTATTCATTATTTTTCATATATGGGTAATCCTATATATAAATTTTACAAATTGTATCGTTTTTTATGAAAATAGAAAAGTCAATTTTTTATTTACAGGTAATATTTTACAAGAAATTGATAAAAGCCTACAAATTTATTAATCATTGATTTTAAACATCATAATCACTCTAAATAGATTCATCATTCAAAAGATTTTTTCAACAAATACATGTCATGTTCTATTTTAATTGGTTTTCCACAATCAACATTATGATGCCATGGAACATTGGTGTTGATAAAATGTGGATAAAGTAACACTCCCATCAAGTCCACACCAATCAAAATCTATAATTTTCATTTGTGTCATAATGTTTGATACCTGCAAGTCACCGTGTGCAAAACCTCCAGCATGTAAGATACTGACAACATCTTCTGCTTTCCTTAACAATACTTTTTGATCTTGCTTCCAGTCATGAATAGCAGTATGGGCAGTGATATTAATATATTCTTGCTCTGATAGATATTCCATGACAACCATGATCCAGCCAGTTATATGATTGTATGCATAGACTTTGGGGGCAACTTTATTCATTGCACAGTAATTGTGACCTTCTATACCATACCTTTTGACAAATTTCACAACTATCAATTTGTCCTGAAAATCACCAGACTTTCCTTTCACTAAAAAGAGTGGCTTTCCATTATATAGTGGTTTCACATAAGAAAAGTCAAATTCTCTTGACTTTGTCACAAACTTGTGAATGTATGGAAAACTGTCCTCATGTAAGAGATTACTGGTGTTAATATAGTGAACCTGTCCATAATGTGCTTGACAATAATGGTTCAGCTCTTGAAGGCCCATCTTCAATGCCACAAGTGCATGAGCTAGAGCTTCCATTGCCATGGATCATTTTTCATAAACAGGTGTGGGAAGATCAGGGTAAGAGGTTCCATTGTAAAGTCCTTGCCTAAAACAGCTCTGCCAATACCCAGATAAGGTCCAGAAAGGTAAAGAAGAAAGGCAGGATTAAGTCCTTGATGTACTATATTACTGTTGTTTAGGCCAATCGTCTTCGTGTAAGAAGCACAGTTTCGTACACTGGATCCTGCATAGATACTTGGACTCCGAATCGGAAAAGCTTTTTCCACAAACTTGCATCTCATCGTTATTATCAGTAAGCTTTCTCCTCTTCAAAAACTTGAATCATCCAGTTTAGTTAATTGTTTCATAAAAGACTTTTTGACTATTACCTGATTGTAATGTCTTTCACATGTCTAAAGTCAAACAATGAAGATAGTTCAGGAAGATACTTAGCCATTTTGTTAGACTTTTCGCTGCTGTACTAGCAGACGCATGTCGCCATCTTTGATTCTCTTTAGTTGCGCATGGTGCTAACTGAATATTCTCGAAAGAGAATCAAATACGCAAGGTAGATTTCTGGCCGAACTCATTATAATAGTTGTTGTGTAGCAAAGCGCAATTCTAAAAGTGAATTGAGAAGAAACTGCTTTTCAAAGTTGCGTGGTATATGCTTGTAAAAGTGTAAATCGGTTTGAAATTCTCCAATCAGATTTCGAGATATTCTAGAACTGACTATTATTATTATTTATTATTATATATAAAAACAACACAAATTTGCTTATATTTGAATAATCACACCAAACGCGATAATAATAAATATTGTAAGAAGTAAAACCTTTGCTTGAACAAACTCACAATCTTCATCAACAAACGTTCGCAAAAAATGCTTAATTTCCCGAGCGAACTCTATTTTGGAATATTTATTGGTTTCGTTCTCAGCCTGTTGATAAATGGCATGACTTTTAATAGCCAACTCCGCAATATGGGAATATTAATTAAGAATATGAAGTCCAGAAAATCATCAATGATGACCAAAGAATAGGTTATACTCATAAATGGCTTTGGGTCCGAGTATTTTCCTCCCATGCAATCACTCTGGTGCTTTTAGTATTATTTATATTTTCAAGAGCGCGCATTTATGACAAAATAATAAAACTATGCATACAAATCAAATTATTATTCTTTGGTTGTAATTGTGTCAAAGTAGCAAAATGTGGTCAAGGCTCAATGAATGCACTCAAGCAGTCTTTTATCAGCAAGTTAATAACCATAAGGAATGGTCTTTCATTGATAGGTCACTTGATCGGTGGAGGCTCTGTTATGTTAAATTTGCTTTCTTTACATTTCTTCAGTTTTCGTTTCACTGTAAGTTGGTGGTAATTGGTTTTTATTTTCGTTCTTCTTGATAACTTTCATAAGCAATTTTTTCTTTATCTATAGATATTATTGGAGAATTTTGGTATCATTGATTTTAAAAACATATGGAGCAATTTTTTCTCTTTAAAATACTTCTAATAGTGCTGTAATTCTTTGATTCCATGGTGGATTTGATGTAAATTACCGTATTCTTCCGAAAATAAGCAACACATTTTTGTTATAGTGTTGCTTATTTTCGGGTAGTTTAATAAAACGAAAGAAATTCGATCCCGCAACCACCGAATCATGTGATTTTTGTAGAATTTCAGATTCATTTATCCGTGATTTATCACGTGAATACGCGAAACGGGTTTTAAACCTATTTTTTCTTCTATACAAAACAGAGAAGAGTTGTTAAAACTGTTAAACGTAAGACCCAAATTGTAAAACAAACACGAAATTTGTACTCAATTGAACATAAAAAGAGGTTATTGTGCAACATCTTCTTTTGTTCGTCTAATAACCCTCAGGTTGGCAACGCACTCCTCTGCATCATTCCCTCGAGCTACTAACCAATATAACTTTGTGTTGGCCTTCTCCAATTCTTGCTTCCAGCTTAGCGGTGTCCATGTTTTTCTTTGCACAATGTAATGCTAATATACTGATCGTTCACAGTTGACGATTTACCATTTATGTAATATTAACTTGGGCGCAGCAGAAAATTATCCAATACATCAATTATATTGTTCTATCAATCTTTTATGCAGACTCAAAGAAATTGATTTCGTTTAATATCGAGTTTGCAGCATCTATCAGTTTCCAATAGTTGCCATTATTGATAGTCGTTGTCTTTGACATTTGTTAATTGAGTCTAAAAAGCTTTGGTACTCATATTATGCACGTCATTTGATACACGTGATCAGAATTCTCTGTCACACATGATAATAATAATAATAAGCAATTTAACAATAAACGCGAAAAACGCCAATTAACAATAGGCTAAGATGTCTTTGTCATTCTTCATTGCATTATGTTTGATTTGCTTGTGGCGTTAGACGGATTGCCAACACACACACGCGCCCCCTAATAATATCATGTAAGTCTGCAAGTTATTATTACCGTTTTCAGTAGAACTTTAACCGTACATAATCCTCTCTTTTTTTCCATCAAATTAATAATTAAAGAATTTTGATACAGTTTCGGCAAATACCTAACGAGGAGGACCTTGTAAAGATGAGCATTTGTTTGGAATATTATGCCAAGTTCCCAACCGACAAAAAACTATTCAATGAAACCGCGTGCGGCCATCAAAGCCACAGGGTTTACTAAATCATGTGAATTATGCATGATCACACATTATTGTTGTTACTTTGAACCCCTGAATCGAACTTTAAGGGCGAAAATCTTTCCCCTCAAAAGAGATAGTGTTGTTTTGCGCAAAAAGAAATATTATTTCCGGAACGAATCTCCCCATCCGATATTAATATGGAGACCTCCGTGACCTAAAATTGAGGTCTGGAGGGGGATGGTGAGGAAACGAAAAAAAAAAAAGTTTCCAAAAAGTGCTTCGTTCAGATTTGCTCAAAACAAAAAGTAATAATAACGACATGCGTATCATTGCTTGAATAAGATTGATTCTGTCGTAATTCAAACCCCAAAGTTCAATGCTCTTAACATGTGAAGACTTTCTCTGCATTGTATACTAGTCAGTTGATAGCAGCGGACACTACCATTTTAGCAAATGGTACTACTATCAAATATCATTCCATCGCAATATAGTATGTCGGCAATTGAGTCGAACGAAAAGAATATACCACCAAATTACCCGGATAAATTAGAGAATAGGCAATTACAAATCAAACACAAAATATCGCTTAAATAGCCACATATCCACGCTATTGAATATTGGTTAAAGGATTATTTAAAAGTAATTCCGTGAATTTCATTTTTTTAGAATAGACATTACAACATGATTTCCCTTAAAGTGGAGAAGTTCAACAAAGTTGGTTCCGAAACTTTACAGCAAAGTGAATTAGTAGAAAGGGGGAAGGGTATGAATCAAATAAAACTTACAGTAAATGACATAATTTAAGAATGGCAAAATATTCCTAAGGGTTTGGGTTTAAATCACCAATTTGTATAAAAAAAAACACGAGTATATATCAACGAAAGAGAAAAATAACATCCGTAATCCAAGAAGAAAAAGAAAATCTAAAGATATCCGTGTTAAATAGGTTTCGGATAATTTATGCAGAAATGAGTGAAATGAGAGAAGGAGAACCTCTATTTGTATCTGAAAACAAGACACAGTATTCCAAGATTTATGACCATCAAACACCAACGTGTATAAGTGTTCGATCACCATCACGCACATAGCTTCATTTGGTTGGAGTTCGTACAGGGCCACCAGTCCTATATTGAAATTATATAAACGATAAGATTCCGGGACAATATGATAAATTAATATTAACCGTTTACATACCTTCCACCGCCTCCTTGAATTGGTTTTGCAATACGACCGAAGAATGGAGTGACTGTCTTTGCAGCTAGATAATAGATTATATAAAAGAAACGATTAAGTATATCAAACTTTTATTGCATAAAAAAGGAATCTCTATTTAAACAGAAGACGTCATACTTCGTGCTTGTTCCAATCGATCCCTCACTGTTTTTAATTGAGCCTCGAATCTAATAATCGATATGGTTAGCATTCAATAACAAAAAGCAAGCTTAAATAACAGATTCAAGTCTCGTACTTTTGGTTTTGTGCGGTCAATTTCTCTTGTGCATCTTGAAGTAGAGCCTCCAATGTCTGGATACGCTCATTTCGTGCAAGCAATTTGCGCTCGGCAATTGCTACTTCTTTTTTGAGCGACGAGTTTTGCTCGACAAGCTAACAATTAGAGTGATTTGGGATAAATATCGTCATCAAATGAATCATAAACAGTATATTTATTAACTAACCTGTTTCTGCACGTTTGTGAGTTGTTCCAGATTTCTCTCCAAAAAGACCATCTTCCTTTGCTGAGACTTATTATTAGTATTGCGTAATACATTCTGGTATTGCTCGCGTGTCTCATCAAGAGAGATCTCAAGTTCGACAACTTTCTCGCATCGGTTCTGCAGGTCACGCATCAAGGCCTTCTTCATAACGTCAAAGTCAGCCAATTGTTGTGCCATGGTCTTGCGAATACGCTCCATATCCTTTTCTTTATCTGCGACATCTTTGTGAGAGTCCGCTTTGAGTTCTCTTTCAGCAAGGGCATTCTAGAGTGGTGTATAGATACGATGTTTAGCGACTCTGATACACACAAAGTAAGAGAACCGAGTTTATAGACAAATGTATTCACCTGCAGATCTTCCTTCTCGCGTTTAAGGTCCGAAAGAGAGCTGTAACGAATTTAAATGTTTACAAGTGATTTTACAAAGAAGAAATGCTTTTCGGATATATTCTGTATTGCATTCATTACCTGCTAATCTTGTGCAGTTCTTCGTTCTTCCTCTCAAGTTCTTGTCGTAACTCGTCGATCTCTTTCTGCTGAACGTCTTTCTTGGCTGCATATTGGGCTTCCAATTTACTCCTAAGTTCTTGTATTGTCTCACCAATATCAATAGAGCTATTGGCTTCTTCTTCGGCGATTGTGCGATCTGCATGAAAAATGTCAAAGTGTAAAGTTCATGGTATCATAAAACAAATCAACTACTATAAAACGTTGAGCAATAAAATTGTTACCAAGCAACTCTTCGTATTCAAGTTCTAGTGTCTGTAGTCTAATGTCAGCCTCGTCACGCTTCCTTGTGAGATGTTCGTTCTCATAATTCAACTCGGCAATAGTTTGTTCGTGTTGCGTAATAGTTGTTTCTGACTCGGTCAATTTGCGACGGATGGCAGCAAGTTCCTCTACCGTTAATGTTGCCTTGCCATCTGTATCGAGAGAATCGAACTTCTTCAATGTGTCGCGGATCTGTTTTTCCTTTTGAGAAATGGCTCCATTTGGGTCGAGCTCTGCAAGCATCTGGGCCATCTTTTCTTGCTTCTTTTGTTCTTTGTCACCCTCCTTCTGAGACAATTTCAATTCGACCAGTTGTTTCTTGAGAGCCTCTAGTTCATTCAAAGTCTCTTGATGACTCTCACGAAGACCGTCTAATGTGATAGCACTGTCCTTGTTCTCATAAGTAACCTTCTCCAATTGCAGTCTAAGATCGGTGAGTTGAGCAACCATTGTTTTGTTTTCAGTCGTAGTTGTTGTTTCTTGCTCCTTGAGTAATTGTAATTCTTCTTTCAATTCACTGAGTAGTTTCTCTTTCTTCTCCAGTTCAGCTTCCTTCTCTGCAATTTGATCTGTAAGATCATTCTCACGTCTGAGGAATTCTTCACGTTCCTCCTTCTCAAGTACAGGCGATGGAGTACTGGGACGAGATTCTGCTATCTCTGATCCTCTCTTGGCAGCTTCTACAGCAGGATTTGGGGCGGTGCCGTTTGGTGGTGCGGAAACAGGGCCAGACGAAACCTTGTCCATTGACACCCATTTTTCTTTCGGTACAGTTCCACCTTTGCGCCATACACCAATTTCGTCTTCGAGCGCTGTAATATATTGCTGGAAGGTGACAGCCTCGCTCTTGGCTTTCTTGAGTAATGCTTTGAGCTCTGCTGGACTGAGTTCGGCATTGACTCTGGCCTTGTTCTTGATAGTCTTGGCTCTGTAATGAAAGCAAAATTGTTATTAAAAAATCAGAGAATGAAAAGAGTTTTGAGAACCTAACTCGAAAGGGATACTTGCCTCATACCGAAACGCAGGGTACTCAAACTTTCAGCTTCGTTAAACGAGGAAGGCGAGGAATTAATAATCAACGTTGTTCGTGAATTTCCACCAAGCGATTCTTGCAGAATTCTTGTAAGTTTACTGTCACGATACGGAATATGGGTAGATTTGCCGTCGGTCAAGGCGTTAATGACCATACCCAAAGCCGACAACGACTTGTTGATCTTCTTTGCTTCCTCTAGAGTCTGTCCAGAAGCACCTGTCTTGCCAACCTTCTCGGAACCAGCCAAGTCGACAAGCGACAGTTTACCGCTTTTTACACTACCATCCTGAAGGTTCTTTTGTGTGATTGTGATTACAAAGATTGAATGCGATCGAGAACTTTCGGCATTCATGTTTGTGTAGGCGACAACACGTGCTTGACCACCGCGTTTCATAACTTCGTATACTTCTTCGACGGAGCTGACGTATACTTCCAATAGACCCTTGACGTACACACCCCGATTCTTTTCTTCATGAATTGGCAGGTTATCATTCTGAGGATTAAGCAAATCTCTAATTCTCTCCATATAAATTTCCATGTAGGAGACTTTCACTGTATATTCCATTGTCGGAGGAGAGTCTATAATGCATTGAAAGATTTGCTCGACAATACGAGGAATCAAACCCTTGAGCTCTTCGTTATCAATGTCAGCACCCATCATAGTAAATGTCTTGCCAGATCCCGTTTGACCATAGGCAAAGACAGTACCGTTATAACCATTGTAAACCTCTAACAAACAAATGATGACAAAATGAGGACGATTACCAATAGGAAACATAATCATTACTTGCACATTATTAAACAATCAGACGAAATTTACCATCGACAATGGGTTTGATGGCACTGTCGAACACTTCCTTTTGTTTTGTTTCAGGAGAAAAGATGCGGTCAAATGTAAAGTTTCCCTGAAATTCTTTACCCTACAGACATGATTCAGGAAAAAAAGAGATAATCGTTTAGTATACATGACGAGCGAAGGGCTGTATCTTCCAATTAATATTCAAGTGACGACACGAATATTTGAACACGTGTTAATTACCTGCATGCGACATGTTTCGCCATCATCATCGAATTTTATGATAGGTACACCGCCCTCTGCAATTTCTCTCTTGTTCTGTGGCCGGAAACGGCATACTACACGGATGTTGTTTCTTTGATCGTTACCACTCATTTTGTATGATATTTACTCGGCTTTTTTATAAATACAAATGTCTTTCTCTAATAATATTTCTATATGTTCTGCAATATATATTCCAAACGCGATAATAAAAGCAGAAAAGGTTAATTCTCATGATAGACAGCAAAGAGAGCGAAGCAAGCAATGCTTTATCACTTTTGACGAGGAGATGACGTTTACCGTTTGGGTGGGATCCCGGCGTAACCAATGACCTTATTGTTTCTTATGATAAAAAGAGTGTATTCGTAATACACTATCTTGTATTTAATGTTGCGTAAAAAGAAGATAAAAGTACGTAGGAAAGTAGGAAAGTTTTATTTTTTTTGTCTTTTTTTTATATACTCAGGAACCTAGAATGTTTATTTTTTTTATTTTCAAGTTGAAAGAGCCCGCAAGTGCAGGGTTAATAAACTAGGGTGGTTCAAAAGTAGGAGAATGGCACTGCGTAGTTATATAAAAATCTGCCACAATAAGGGGAAAAGTTTGCGGCTACGTAACGATCGATAAGCAAGTTCCCTATTGTCAACTGCTCTGTATCACAAGTAAAAAAAAACCCACATATTAGCTTGTGATTTGCTCGACGTCAAATTCCCAGTCAATTATTCCTGCGCGGTCCCCTGAATGTAAAGCCCATGATAGGCTATCAAGAGAGAAGGGGGAGAGGAAGGAAGGAGGGGGAGGGAAAGGCAAGCAAAGTAGTTGATGAGTATGTTTGGAGAATTTCTCGGTTGAGGGTCTTGGACAGATGTAGACAGATATAGTAAGTAACATCATACCGTTTATCCTATATTCCCTCTTCATGAGAATGTAGAGATTCTTTACAGTCACATATCTGCCATCTCATCTTGTCACGAACATAATCTCGCAAAAAAAGATTTTAATAGAAAGAATTAGAGAGCATAGCCTCAGTTATAACCCATGTGGGGTCACAGAGGCTAATCGCACGGGCAAACATGATAATAGTTATTATTATTTGCAATGGGTAATATAAATTTGTGTCACTTTTGGCACTCTCGCCACAAAAACTGACATTGTTTCAGAGTTTACTTACGTAAAAAGAACAATAGTGTCTATTGACCCTCGCAGATATCACCAACCCCATAAATGGATACCCTGTGGTCAATCAAAAAGTCAAAAATTTATCCTAAAGTTGGTAAGTTATTCATGTTATTCCGACTAGCGCACAGGTTTGTTTGGTCAGCGTTCTCGGAGATTGGGGAAAAAAAAAATGCAAAAAAAGTTATCGTTACGTTACACCCCCATCGTCTTTGGCCAAATTCTCGTGACACCGTATTACTTCACCTCTTCTAAAATCTCGCAAATACCCACACATCCAGCCTGACCCGTATCAGGTTTTTCAATACACCATATCTAGTCACGCGTATATAAACAAATTACTTGGAACGAGTTATAAGAGAATGGCAATGTTACGCAGGAGACTGTAGAAACCACATAAATACTCCTAAGAATACGTGCGAGAAATTTACAATGCACAAATTCAATGCTGTAAATTTGTATTTTTCCTTCTTTTCGAATAATTAATATAATAGTCATGATTTATTCGCATCATCCAGCATTGACGGATAATCTAGCAGAAATAGTTGAATATTTCGGTACAATAACTGCAGATCCGCAGAATTCCTCTGCTACTGTTGTGGTAAACGATCCGACTGGGCTAGAAATACCACAAGTCAACATAAAGCAAATTAAGAATACGAGCGACGAATCTGTTTGGGTAACTAGCAGTAAAAGTTAATACATGCTTTGGTAATTGGAGCGGTAATTAGGAACAGACATGTACCAATTACAGCCCATACAACAGAGTAGCATTCCACAAGCTGCGCAGCTTAACGTCACTGAAGTTGCTAATTCTTTTTTCCTCTCCTATCAGGGTGTTCTTACCGACTATAAACTAGGATGCGACTCGTCGCCAGCAAATATAACCAGCAAATTGAAATCAAAGTATGTTGCGCTAATACAACGCGGTGGTGGTTGCAACTTTGCTGATAAAATACAGAATGCAATTCAAGCGGGTTTCTCGGGTGCTATAATTTACGACAATAATAATGGCACCAATTCGGATATCAATTCACCTAATTCTAAAGTTAATATTCTTGCTTACTATGGTGAGTTGGGGCAGGTGGAGTTGGGCCAGCGAACCCTCAAGAAGGAATTGTCAGAACCATTTATTGATTGTCTTGTTAATATTTTCAAGTTGATAACTTGACGGGAACGGAGTTATTGAGCGATTTGAATAACACAACTGCAGTAACTGTAGTGTCCGTACAAATGGGACTAAATAATTCATTCTCAACCCCATCAACGGCTCAGAAGGACCACGTGTCAGTTTTATTTTTCGTGCTGGTAAGCATGCCTTTGTAAGTTGCAGAGGTTCTAACTTTTATAATTACTTACTTGTAAACCATTGTTATGCCACAATTAATAATTCTACGTTTTCATCATTCAAAGTTTTTGTTTGCTATTGTAGCGATGTACTTGTGTTTCCGCTTGCGAAGGAATGGAGAGCGTCGTAGGAACCCTCACGGAGTAATACCACTCCCGTTGGTCCAAATCTTGTCTAATCCTAATAATATAAATAGGCTTGACGCAGATACTTTAGCCAAAATGAAGACGTGTCCGTTTAACGAAAAATCATTGGCCGATGAGTCCTTGCAGCAATATCAAACGTGCGCTATTTGTATCGAAGACTTTGACGAGAAAGACATGATACGAGAATTGCCTTGTGGCCATATATATCATGTTCAGTGCATTGGTACGTTTGGACAAATTGTGAATATGATGATCGGTGATATAATGCAAAACTCTGATATATTCGTTATTGATCTTCGTCTGCAGATCCATGGCTATTACAGACATCAACCGTCTGTCCAACATGCAAGCACGATTGTTCGGAGAGTACCGCAGAACCTGCTACCATTTCAGTTAATGATTGTTTGACATCTGATCAAAACTCGATAGTTACCAACACACAAAATGATGATCCAATAAATGATAGTAATGCGACCGCATCTAATCTTGCTTCATTAACTCCACCACCGGCAGCACACGTGAGATCAAGTAGCAGTATTAACAACGATGAAAGACCAACTTCTTCCCGGACTAGCGAGAGTGGAAGTAATAACAGCTACACACTTCCCCGAAGAAATCATAGAATAAAGGATGTCACCACATTCTGGCGATTATGAAGAGGCAATAGAGCAGATTATTCCATTCCGATGTCTTGTATGGATTAAATCTCAAGTTGGAATCATTGAATACGAATGGGATGATTGTGGAGAATACCATACAAGCGTGGAAAATCAATAATCTTACTGTACTATATACTATTATCTAATAATAGAAACATTACATATGAAAATTTGTTGTTGTATTTTTATTTGAAAAATAATAATGGAATAGTGTAATTTTTTGTATTAATAATTGAGAATTATAATAAAACTTAACATTGGGAGGTTTTGTTTTTTACGAAAGCCGGAAAATTTGATATGCAAAGAATGGTAGAAATCATTGATTGGAATAGTAACAACAAATAGTAACGGCAACTTTTATCTTCTTTTAAATCTTGCGCCGCATAGACCAAGCGGTTGGGGGAAATCCTTGACCATCCAGTTCTTATTTTTACTGATTGCATCCTCGCTTCAACCCATTGCTGCTGACAATGCCTCTTTACTCTAACCTTAAATGTATATGCCCTTCGTTAAGCAGCTCTAGAGGTCACACTTGGCTGTACAAATGCGCTTCGTTTGATAATCATTCTCGATACTTTGTCACCGACACCACACCAAATCAGGGATATTACAGTAATGATAAAGTATTTATTTGACAAGTTGAAAAATATTCGCAGAATATTGAACAACTGAATAGCCAATGCGCACTGGATTATTCATCAAATTACCACAATCACAACTGTACCGCATTAACAACAATTATCAAAGTACTAATAATTATAATTAAAATACAAAAAGAGGAGAAATCTTTAATGTTCTTTTCTTTTTTTTTCTTTTTTTTCTTTTTGATACAAATAACAAACTATAGAAACCGTAGAGTGGATGTTGGAGGAGGGTGTTAATCGAAAACGGTATAGTAAAATAATTCCTTAAGAAAAGTAAAGAAGGATGATAAAAAGGATTGTGGATAAATCTATATAGATTGTGCGTAGAAGGAAAAAACCTCGTATAATAGGGTGGAGAAGAGGATATGAGATGTCGGAAAGTAATTAAAGTTTAAATAGAAATAAAGTTAAGCAAGGGCACAAAAGTATTTGAATATAATTTGCACATCCCACTATACAGTTCCAATGAATGTAGAAATAATAATAAAGAATAAATATTACTAATACAAAGGAATAAAAGTGTTCGACACTTGAGTATAAAGAAAACTAGTATTCTAATATATATTCGCCTTATAATATAACCCCAATGGTATTCAATACCAACTGTCGCCTAAGCAATAGTTAATACGACAGAATATGTCTAATCTAATAATACTAAAACAACTGTAATCGATGGTAAGTAAACTATTAATGTCCTTTTGTCTAAATGAAAACTATACACAGCCAAACAATCGAATGTTGGTGATAATCACGAGAAATAATACACGTTTTGAAGCTCATTTTGTGGATTTTAAACCCCCATCAAAACAACCGATTAAAAAAGAAGAAGCCAAATATTAAGATAACCAATTCCATGAAAAAAAAAAAAAGTCCCTTTTCTTTTTCCTTCTAATGAAATCACTAGGGTGACGAGTGTTCAAACTCGTCCGAGTTATTTACAAATAAATTTTGTTCGCCGAGCTTGCGGAAAACCAAAATGTTCTCTTGCAGAAATAAGCATACATATCTGTTCGAGACAAGTAAACGATCCAATTTAACACGTGTGTCGTCTGCCGAATTGTATTAGGTGTGGGGGCTGCTGGTGGTGGCTATCCCCAAATAATGATTCCAAAATGTTCATACTCTGGCCCCGACTGAATAAATTCCCAATAAACCTCCAGGTTGCCATCATGTGATAATATGCCGATAATAACAATAGAAAAACCCGATTTGTTGGCCCACGCGCAGTAATCCAAAATACAGAGAATGTCTTGAAACTTAGGTTCTGCTCGAGTTACGCGATGAGCGAGGACGTGCTAGAACCCCTGATGCCGTCGCAGCAGTGTTTGTACTATTGTTCTGATTAAAGTTTTGGTTATTATCTGCGTTCGAAGCTGAAGTTTGTGGTTTCGGAGTCGACATCAATGGAAGGCGCTTGCGTGGCAGTTCAACAACTATAAAGCCAAAAGACAAAAGTTTTGTTAATCATTGTTGAAATCTTGTGACGCAGTGAATAACGAGTATGATGACCTAATCACTAATATACACGTACCAATTTTCTTTCGTCTCAAGTTATCATGGCATGCTCGTTCGCAATACCATGCTTGAGTCCCATTAACAATATCATCACTGATGCAATTTGGATAACACGATTGATGGTATGCATGAGGGCATCCTTCGCAACGAACGAGGACGTTACCGAAATACGATTCTTGCTTGTGACAAACAGTACAGTCTATAAAAAATTCCACGATATGTAAGTTATTTGTGTTCGTCAACAAACAATGACAAGTGCTACAACAACAATCACTTACAAAGCTGTAAGACTGGACGGTCCCTATCCTCGACAGTTTCATTCATGAACGCAGTCAAGTCGAGACGAGGCAACTTGCAAGCAAACCCATATCCTTTATAATCACAACCGTGTTTACTGTAGTGCAAAAAAAATAAAATATCGTTTAATAAAAGCTTGATTTTTTTCCCACCACTGTTTTTCGCCCACCATCTTTCAAACTTACTTGCACAAAGTCCTCTTTCCCCATGGACCCGGTCTCCAATTAACACCCTCGGTGGTCCCACAGTAACGACACCAATCGATCCCACTTTGAGTCAACTGTTGGAAAATCGTTGGAGTCTGCGTCGGACGAGGGTCAGCGAGTGGAACGCCTTCCCATTCATCAATGGGATTAGTTGGAGTAAGAGTTTCGCTTGGTGCAGGACTTACAATCATTGGCGTCGGTGTGGTAGGTTTGCTCGATTTCTTTGGACTTGTAGGCTTTCCAGATTGACGACTCTTTACAGTTCCTCCAGTATTTCCCTTTGTGGTTTTGCCTTTACTTGGCTTTTTCTTTCCAAGCGTTCCACGACCTCTTTGTGACAAGGAACCGATCTTGCGGCTGTTGAATGTTTTACGACCACCGTTGTTGCTATTTGGTCGATATTCGGAATCGCTGCTATCTTCCGAGGCGGTCTCGGACGTACTATCATCTATTTCGTCCTTTCTTCGCTTGGAAACAGATGCGGTTTCATCATTGTCTTCTTCGCGAACACGTTTGTGGTCTTGCGCAGTCATACCGTTTGTTGGTCTTGCGCAACGTCGTTTGCTCTCGGAATTGACGGAATCTGTTGAATTCTCGTCGTCCGATAGATCCAAAGAGCGACGCTTTCGACCAAACTCGCTTACAAGGTCGGGTGTTGTCAACGGGGTTACAGGAGTCTCAAGGTCAGTTCTGATTGTCAATTTATCTAGGCGAATGGTTTTCACCAGCTGTCTTTCAGCACCAGTGGCATCGGATAAATCTTCGGTGGCAGACAAACCAGCCGATACAGCGCACAAGGCTTCTTGATGATCCAAGACAGACTGTTGGTCGCTGTTCGCCTCTTTTGGACTTGAGGGAAGCGTAGGGGCAGGGGATGGGGCAGAGACGGGGCACTGGATGTATCGGATAGACTTTTTCGACTTTTTTGTGATGGGTTTTTTCTGCTCGCACTCTTCTGAGAGACCAAGACTGAATAATTCCTCTGGTTCACCAAGAAAATCTGTAGGTGTTGGTGGTGGCGAGCCATATTCAGGAGTCATTAGTTCTGATTCCGATGACGCATCGCTCTCGAAGCCTGCGTTTGCTTTTGCATCGTCTTCCTCGGGTGCTCCTAACCAGATATCAACCAAGACATCGGGAGATGTTTCCGACTCTTGATTGTAAGTGATTACAGGTACTTGCTCCGAAGTGTAGAGTATAGTATCAGAGACTGTGACATCGGATATTGTAGAAGTCTGGTTTGTCGATGACATTTGTAAAAGCCTGATTGGAACGTTTGGCGGGGAGGGACGAGTATGTTGTCCATATGCTGAATGAAGATTAGCCAGGGTAAGATCGTATCGCGGACTTTGCGAGATTTGCTGTGGGGATGGATGGAGGGGTTGCTGTGTAGACAGCTGGGGAAGGTAATATGCATATGGCAGGTATCCAAGTCCTGAAACTGGAGAACAAGGGGGAGGGGAGGGGGGGGGTTGTCTGTTAGTTGATTGAATTACGTTTAAACTAGCAGATTATTTTTGTGGGAGAGAGGAGGCCATCGATCAGAGTATTTGGGTGAGGAGGATCAATCAGATAGACGAGTTAACTTGGGAATTGGGATCAATGTTGACCAATCAATTAATTATTTCGATTGATAATTCTAGTGCTCGAAATTTGTAATGATAGGTTTTGACATTCGTCTATCTGCTCCTCGGGGGATCTCTCGATATAATATTTATATATCTGGCCAAGTTCATATAATAAAAAGTTCCCATATTCAGCAACACATACCACCATAACCGCAAGGCTGGGATGGCACCATTGGAGTCTCAAATTGAGCTTTCGACATCACATTCATTGGCATTATGTGCCGCGGGGCCGTTGTATTGGTGTTTATTATATTAGGTCTAGGGGATGTATTATTTCGGTCAACGTATCGCAGAACGTTCATTATCGTATTTCTATATGTGGGTGTACACACGTTTTCAATAGACTTAGAGAAATCTGTATTTAGGAAAGGAATGAATGGATAGGAAAGAAAAAAAAAAGAATGAAATGCAAAAGGTAAATGTAATTGATAGATATGAGAGAGAGTGAGAGAGGGGGGGTGTGAAGGAAGGAGTGATTGTAGGGAAAATTTTCAATGGGGTTGGGGCGTGGATAAGATAAAATAGGCTGGACTTGTATGTACTGCGGTTAAATATACAAGTCTCTCCAACGTAATTGGATGCGATTTGCCAAACCAATTGTGTAGACACATTGTTCTGAGAAATTCTCTCCAGACGAGTGTAGAGTAGAGAGTGTGTATTGTATTGTATTGCGTGTTGTGTGTTGTGTGTTGTGTGTTTTGTGTGTGTTGTATATGTGTGAGAGATAAGCTCCTGACTAGCTGATACATTTGTTGTACTTACCCTATACTTTTAGGCTGAACGATGAACGATGAACGAAGAGTAGTATAGTCGAATGATTTGAATTAAAATTTTTTTAGTGATTTGTGAAAGTAGTAAAAGTAGTAATAAGGTGGTGTGTAAGTAAGGTAAAGAATATTGATGTTTTCCGATTTATAAAAAATGATATGATTTAATAATTACTGATTATCATATACTGTATAAATGTTCTATAATATATATATTAGTTTTTTGTCTATGAAAGTTTGTTTGCTTGAGAAAGGAGATATAATAGCGTGACTGATAATTGGGAGTCCGACTCGAGTCAGAAGCGGAAGAAGGTAACATTCATTTTGGTTGTTATTTATAAGCTTTGATTGATGATAAATATAGAGTTGATAACAAAGATGCGAAACTAATTAAATATACACGTTGTATTATAAATCATCATCATATATAGAACATAAGATATATTTATGTATCGTGTGATTGTGTATTGGATTGGCACTCAATATATTATGTAATTATAAATTAGCATTATTATAATTTATACACCGTATTGTATATTTATACTTTAAAATGTAATGTCCGATGTACAGAATTAGTTCGGGTACTGTGAAATAAAAGGTCCGTCTCGCGCGATGTGTACAGCCAGATTGTGCTCTAATTGGTGTGTTTCAGACGAGTTTATTGTATACACCACATTTCACTTGGCCCATAGTAACAGGTTATAGCATGTATATTGGATAGAGCTTGGCTGGAATTTGAACAAGGGATTATGTATAAGGGGATTTTGTGTGTGGAATCTCTTGTTCGAGTCAGATATGATTGTTTATTATAATAATATCTACTGTATCGTATATTGTTTGCGTATGTACATATATGTATAACTGTTTCACATATAAATAATCATTCAAAATACACTAATACTAATCCCCACCCCAAATTTAGTCTCATCTTCAAACTATACACAATAATTGCCAAATCCTCAATGAATATACGCATTCTTCTTCCATACTGCCATATATATCCTACCCTATTACATCTCGTGAGCCACTCCCAATTTAAGTAGACAAATACATGCAAATAGATAGGAAAAGAGAATAAAAAGATACACATACCAGCATACCAACGTACCAGCGTACCAGCGTACCAGCATACCAGCATCCATCATACCAACATCCCCATCATACAATCATACCACCATACCAGTAGGTATGTGGTGGGTATGTTGGAAATCATTGCTTCCACAGTCAAAGCCTTGGTATATAACAAATGTGGAAATACGGAAAATGTGGATTATTTGTGTTCATATAATTCATCATTGCGGAAAAAAGTTATTTGTATGATAATTGATTATCTTAATATATTGTTTCATTTAAAAATTCGTTGGATTCTGTGTAATCAGCGGCTTTTTCGGCCAATCCGGGCATAAGAATGCATCTTGTTACAGAATTAGTCTCCATTGTAGAATTATTATAGAATACTACTAAAGTATCTGTTAACCAAAGAAAATAAAAAAGGAATACGCTAGAATGGCTTTAATATTTCAGTATTTGTGGGCGGCGTATGAAAAAGTGAGTATATGCGTGTATGTGTATGCGTATGTATAGCATTTATGGTTACCGATACAAACGGTATTGAATGGTCTATTATCAAGCAATTGATCAAATCAATTAATCAATCAATCAATCAATATCAATCGGTATCAATCAAATCCCCTTCCTCTCCCCCCTCAAAGACTGTATCATGTTATGCAGCAAACTTTAACTGACGCATAACCACAGATATTAATTAGTCAATCAAAATTACCAACAAGGCTCTTTTTCCCTCTTTCCAACACACTTAATCCGTCAAACAGCATGTTTGCACAAAAAACCGACAATGGAGTACAGTCTACAAAGCCTTGTCTCATCCACATAATGATCTCTTTACCAACATATCAACAAAGAAGAAATAACGGTTAGCTAGGAAAAAAAAAAGGTTGGTGCGTTATGCGAGTATATGCATAGAGTGTAGCAAGAATGTTGAAAGGAGAATGGATACTTACAAAATTACGTAGCATAGAATATGTGTACGTAGATTACGATTTACTGTATTACTCATCATGTAATCCCAATGTTGATAAGTTGTACATTCGTATTCTCTGCTAACGTTGGTGTGTTATTACTAAACTTGGTGCAAGCTTAGATTGTTGTTTGGTTGACTGATGCTCTAATTGGAGCACAAGCATTGGTCCCATGTATCTACATTGCCTCCCCCTCTTTCATTCGTGTTCTGATCAAACACATCTTACGCATTTAATATTATATGCAAACAATTGCACAAATAACAATAAAAGTAATTAAAAACGGTCTCTCAAAAAAGCTCATGAAAATCAATAGAATGTAATACAACGAACACTGGTATGTGTTTTTTATACAATGCATCATAATTCTCGTACATGTTTACTAATAGATTCTCTATACTAATTATATCCATGTAGTTGACAGTATGTAACGCAGATCGAGAATTCTGTCTGAACTGAACTCTTCCGTTGCGCACTTAATAATTTACTGCTATCAAAAAATAACAAATTGATAACAACAAATTATTAATAAGAACTATTGTGATGTACGAATGGTTATGATGTACGGACAAGACCGTCTTTACTGTAATAGACATGTAACAACTGTTCTACTAATGAAGAATTGATAAATGTATTGCTCTCTATTGCCTCTAATGTTGTGCACTAACATGCATTGTCCCTAATGGACAGCAAAACTCCCATACTTGCATAAGATCCATACCCTTCCCCTTCCCTCCCCCCTTCACATTCGAATGCGGAGAATTGTTTTCTATTTGGTGTTTGATAGAAGATGAGATGATACATCGCAATGTTACAAACAGTAATCAATTGGCTGCCATAAGTGTGGGGGAGGGGAATTGTGGATGGACATGTGTATTGATAAGAGCAGTGCATAAATGTTATTCTTAGTGGTGAGGGAAAATTCACAAATTCCTGTTGCTTCAACAGGTGTATATGAAATTGATGAGTTATATTTGATAGGCAATTGTGTTTGGTGATTAGCGCGCGTTATCCTATCATACATAAAACAAATATCGTGAGGTTATCTGCGGAGATCACACCATTGGATTACACACGATTAAAGTTCAAAAAATCCTTCATTGTAGAGATTAACATATGTGATATTTATTCATAATCCCACACTCGATACCCAATAAGACACAGTGTCAATCTTTTCAATACTAATCTCTGTTGTCCTACTTGCATTGGTTACATATCAATGCTACTTGGTTAACCCCTCGATCTTCGCTACCATTAGCGTGCTAGTTGGTCTGTACGGATACAACCCTTACGAAACGATTAGGGAGTGGGGGGGAGGGGGAAGAGGAGAGTAGGGAGAGCAGGGAGGGGTAGAGGAGAAAGCGCAAGAGTTTACTGAGGATCGAATTATAGAGGAGGACGAGGTGGGGGGACGAGGTGGGTTTACATAAAAGCAAAAGTACAAGCAAAATTGTACCAGCAATATTTAACGTTGGGTGACACATCTGTACACAATATAAGAATAATCCAATGGACATGCTCTACGGAGAAACTAACGTCTCAATTTCTTTTTTCGACCATAGGCTTGTTTACTTAAATGTTTGATAAACCATTACGAGTATAATCATACATGACTGAACCATATATGTTATTTCTCGACCTTGATTATCGTACACCAATAAAATAAGTGCACATCTTATCTTCCATGAATAAAATAAAAAAGGTAACGATGTGCAATGTTATATATTTGTGCACCAACATATCGCATTCTTTATTTGTTGTAGCATGATAGATAATGCTTGTCGATAAATTGATTTAATGATTAAACGATTAAACGGAAAATAACGCATTTTCATCCAAACCAATAAGCCTTTATGCATGTGGACTTGTATATTAAATTTTATGGTTTCTGTGAATAAAGTTGTAATATTAATATTTTCTCCACTTTCTCCCGCTCTCCCCGCTGTCACTCGGAGTTTTCCTCTCCCCGCGTGTAGATTTTTACCATTTTCCATTCAATCCAATAAAATTCCGTAACGTCCAAATTGCGTCCGAACTATCACACAATAGTTTAACGTTGGCGAAAAAGTATGCACATCGCAAATCGACATCAAGTTGCATTGACACAGTATTCCATGAGGTGTGTCAAATATGAGTCGCACTGCTATAAAAAGAACAAATAAACACACAAGTAGCGATGATGTATTACCAATTTCCTAAAGCAAGTTGGGTTTGTTTTGAAGTCAAAATTGAAAAGTATTTTTGTAAGACCACAGCTTTTAAATTTACCGTAACCATGGGTCACGCGAAAGATATTAAGTAAAAGGCTTGGCTAGAGTTTCAAATCTCTAGCCTCGATTCATCGTCCAACGTGTTTACGATTTCTTATGAATACACGAGAAAAACAAACAAAACGGGATATAAATAATT